CAGATCCTGAAGAATGCCGGAACGTACAACTGCAGAAACGTCGTGAATTTGGCAATAAAGATGAGGTCAACAGTCCAAACAATGAAAATAATTACAATACCTCATCTCAGAAATATAAATAGATCCTGGAGAAGGCCGGAGCGTACAACGGCCGAAACGTCGTGAACATGACAATAAAGATGAGGATAACAGTCCGAACTAATATAGACAGATGCAAAAAACAATATTGCATTTTTATTAAATCAGTATTTGTTATTTTAATCATTAAATTGGTTTTAAAATAGTGGGAGTATTTTGTACATTAAATAATAAAACTTTAATTTTTCCAAAACAATGAATAAAAATTTATTGTACTAAGCTACACCCCTTAGTAAAACCAACTGTACTTTGTACTCCCTGACCTGTTTGCACTTTGGTTTCGATCGGTCAATGTATGGCTATTTTAGAGGGTGGGGCGGACGGACAGACGGGCTAACGGAAATCACAGAATTTTATACAGGGTGTCCATAAAGTTCGTGTGCACTTTAAAAAATTATAACTTTATTTGTATTTGCGATAGAAATAATCTGTAAAAAATGTTAGAAAGTTTAATGTACCTAGTTTTAAGTATAGCTAAAATAACTAATGAGATTTCAGGCATTACTGTAAATCAGTTGGCAAATGTTTTTCGTGAACTGCAAAATCGTATTACTCTTTGTATTGCTAATGATGGAGGACATGTGGAAACTTAAATAAAATTTCAATAAAACCTTAGAAAAATATAGATTTACTTCTTTCTAATCCTCTATCGCAAATACAAATAAAGTTATAAATTTTTAAAAGTGCACACGAACTTTATGGACACCCTGTATATAGATACATTCTTTCAACTAATCTAAAAACTACTAGTAAAGTTTCCTTTCAAATTGTAAGGGAATGATGCCAACCCGTTATCCTGGATGCAGTGGCGATTTTAAAAAACTGCTGAACCTCTTCTATAAGGTAATAAACTTGTTTTTTTTTTTTGGGGGGGCAAGAAATTCAAAAACAATTTTGCAGAATTTTGATAGATTTTTCTTGTTACCTAATTCAAGTTACGTGAGGTCGTGGTCTATATTGAGGTCTGCGTATTTAGAAATCGCCCTTCGGATGACGCAAGCTGTTACCTAAGAGCTAACGTCTGGAAAAACCAGACAGGAAAAGATGGGGGAAGGGAAAAGGCGTGCCTAGATCCAATCTATCATGAACACACATTACAACAGAAATTTCGAAGTACATTTGATCAATAGAAGCGTGTAATGTTTGTGACATGTTTTTTTTTCCGCTAGTTGAAGTCGTTGCCTGACATGGGTACTTTGATTGAAGTAATCCGTATCTTACACTACCCTGCCTGACCCCTGGTGCTCACCTACAGACCCTTACCCTCTTGGGAAATGTAAATAGGGCCAAGTGATATGAACATTAATATATCTCAATCATTTATCTCCAGGCTACAAGCTTAAAAGTCAGCATAACTTTCTGTGTATTTGGGAACAGGATGAACGCAATAAAGTTCATGTTATACGTAGATCTTGCTTTTGCTCGCATATCTATCTATCTATCTATCTATCTATCTATCTATCTATCTATCTATCTATCTATCTATCTCCATTCTATCTATCTATCTATCTATCTATCTATCTATCTATCTATCTATCTATCTATCTATCTATCTATCTTATTTAGACGGAAAGTTATTGAGAGTGCTGCTATCGAATCTTGTCAAAATGTAAATGTCTGCCCCGGACCTTTTTCAAATATCTTTTTAGTAAAAGATATGCTTATTTCCCGAGCTAACATAGATAAATATAAAATAATTTTAAAAAATTAAAAGGCAATTAAAAATTAAATTAGAACCCATTATTTAAATTAAATTAAATAATAATTACATTCAAAATAAGGAATAAATAAATATGTATAAACCAAAAAAAATCAAAAATACTATTTACTCGTTTTCTTTAATTAGGGATTAATTACACTTAGCATCTTCCATAATTTATTTAAATTACATCACTTAGCATCTTCCATAATTTAATTTGACTTTCGCAGTTAGTCGGAAGAATATTTATATGTGTTCTTAAATTTAAAATTCTGAAAACTTAACGATATTTTTATTTTTACTTCTGTTTATAAATACGTGTTACAAAATAAAATCGTTACATTTGTCTTAATAAAGTCCATCAGAGGACGAAACGCGTCGATATAGAAAAGATTTTTTTATTTTGTCTTTATTCATATTATCTTTTTACAGATATATTTTTATTTATATCTAAATTTATACACACACACACACGTACATATATATATATATATATATATATATATATATATATATATATATAATTGAATAGCAAAGTGGAAAATTTCTATGTAACGCATTTCGTCCTTTAAATAAAAGTAATGTTCATATTCACTTATGTGCTAATATCCTTAGGAAAGGTATGAATCCTCGCCGAAACGTTGTAATAAATATGATGACAAAGATGAGGACAATAGTCCGAATAATGTAAATAGTGTACATAATACCTCATCTCAGAAATATAGACAAACACACACATACTAACAAATTGTAGCGGCTTCACCCAAATCCGTTTAAAATACTACCAAATATGAACTTTCATGACATTAATCCATATAATATCCGCTAATCTAATATATATATATATATATATATATATATATATATATATATATATATATATATATATATATATATATACGGGGGAATAATGGATAGAGATTGAGCAATCGAATTGAGTTCGAATTCAGTCGGATCCATTACATTCAATATACGTACTAATACCGTTCAGAAACTTATGAATTCACTTCTTCTCCGCCAAGCTATGGGTAATTAGCAGAACAGCCTTGGCAACTGAATTCAAAACCTTCCTGGAGAGGGTTTGGCTATCTTGCCCATGATACTACAGCTGCTGAACACATGGATAATATATATATATATATATATATATATATATATATATATATATATATATATATATATATATATATATATATATATATCTGTGTTTATTTGTAAATTTGCAGTAGAGAGAGCCGGGATAGAAGAGAAAGGGTAGAAGAGAAAGGGTGAAAAAGAGAAAGGGAGTAGAAAAGAAAAGGAAACGTTGAAAAAGGAAGCTGAAGTAAGAGAGAGTTGCAGAAGAGAAAGGGAAACATAGGAAAAGAGAAAGCGGAAGAGAGAGAGAGGGAGAGGGGTAGAAGAGAAAAGAAATAGGGTAAAAGAGAAAGCGGAAGAGAGAGTAAGGGGGTAGAAGAGAAAAGGAAACAGGGTAAAAGAGAAAGGGGAAGGTAAAAAAGAAAACGGAAGAGAGAGAGAGAGGTTGAGGTGTAGAAGAGAAAAGGTAATAGAGTAAAAAAAGGCGGAAGAGAGAGAGAGAGAGAGAGAGAGAGAGTGAGGTTAGAAGAGAAAGCGGAAGAGAAAGAAAGGGTTGAAATAAAAAGAGAAACAGACTAAAAGAAGAAGCGGAAGAGAGAGAAGTAGAAATGAAAGGGCAACGGCGGAAGAGAAAGAGAGATGTGAGAAAGTTGTAGAAGAGAAAGCGAATGAGGGTAAAAGAGAAAGCAGAAGAGAGAGTGAGAGTGGTAGAAAAGAAAGGAAAACAGAATAAAAGAGAAAGCAGAAGAGAGAGAGAAAAAAGAGCCAGACAGAAGAGAAAGAGATTCAGGGTAAATGTGAAAGAGGGAGAAAGCCTGAATTTATCTTTTTTTTTTTTCTTCTTTTTTTGTGACGTAAACATCCAGACAACATTTAATCCTTATAGATTTAACCCCTTGAAAGAAAATAATTTTACTCACTGATTCCCAGGAGACGAAGTACCTCCCGCTTCCCGCCACTATCTTTGATATAATTTTATATCATTTTAATCCTAAATAATTTGTACGTGACGTTACTGAAAAGTTCACGTCCTCACCAAGCAACAGTATGAAAAAGTTTTGTTTCGTCATTGGGTCTGAGTTTGGAAAGTTGGTAGGCCCGAGAACTTTTCGACCTCCCAAATCGTATGACTGAGATTATTTAAAGGTTTTTCACATAATATAATTCTACTTCTTTATGTGCCGTAACCACTCAAGATGTAGGCGTTCATGGCTCTCCACAACTTCCTGTCTTTTGTAGCTCTTTTGTCTTTGTTATTTCTCCTGAAACCTGTTCCGCCATCCATTTACTCAAGCTCTCCTCTGTCTCTCTTGCTTTCAATCTGTCCTGTGAGTATCAGATTTTCTAAGCCCTCCTTCCTCATATGCTCTTGGAATTTCAACTGTCTCCCCCGATGTTATGTATACGTTTCATTTTTGTTTTTATTTTTGCAATTATTAATCAAATTAAACACACATTTACCCGAGAAATCTCACCTCTCTGTCTCTATATCTGTATTGCTAATGATATTGCTGAGCGTCTCTGTTTCCTTATAAGGAAACATTCGGATTTCTTCACTGTACAGTTAGCGTTTATAAAATCCTTTTCTTAAAATAGTTTCTCGGGAAATTAAAATTCTCAAGTCCACAGTTATCGCTTTTTCTAACACGGATGGCAGTTTAATTAGAAACCTTTTTTACGGTTTATCAACCTGTCGGTTGATAAACCGTAAAAAACAAATCAATCGACCAATCAATTTAACACAGCTTTGGGAGTTAGCGACAGAAAAACGCGAGACCAACAGTGACACTGACAAAAATCATTACATTTTTAAATAAAAAATAATTTGGACAAAACATTCATTGATGTTTATCAAACCTTTCAAGGTTATTTAAAGGCAGAGAACTTTTTAGATTATACGAATTGAGATAATAATGATTTAGAGATACAAGTATTACTAATTAACCCATAGCAGAGGGGGAAATCATACCATTCCCAAGGATACTTGCACCTATATGAATATAATGAACACAAACTGGAATTTGTAACTTGGCTCTCCGATTAAAAATTCCAATCCATTTTTCATTTCACCACCCGCACATCCAAGCTTACAGCACCTGCTATTCCCAAGCGGTCACTCATCTAGGTACTGACCAGGTTTGACGCTGCTTAACTCCGATGATAGTACGGGAACTGGGGTTTCAGCCTGATGTGGCCGTAAGCCAAAACGAAAGCCAAAACGAAAGCCAAAGCGTTTGAAAATTATATTTCACAAAATAAATGTTAACTTTCTTTCAGAAAATTACCTTTTCATTTTCTATAATTTAGGCTGGTTGGTATACCACCACCTCTATGGGTTATTTAATGTCGAAATTTAAATATTTTGAACACAGTTTTATGGCTTCAACTACAGATAAAATACATTGTTGGTCATTTTACTATAAAAAAAAATAATTCTTTAAGTTAATTCTACTATAAATATGTATTTTTGTTAATTTTTTTATAGAAAAATGTATTAAATAAATAAAGCAAATTCACCATAAAAATGTATTTTTATATTTTCATAGTGTTTTGACCCAAGTTTGAAAGATCACTATTTTCCCATAATTTGGACCCTAACTGGTGCTACCACCCTGGATCAGTTAAGATATAATTTGGGTATTCCATTGTCCAGAATTTTGAATTATCCGACCAATTATCTGGAATTTTGAATTATTCGACCTATTGTCCGGAATTTTGAATTATCCGACCAATTCTCAGGAATTTTGATTATCCGACCAATTGTCTGTAATTTGGAATCATTCGACCAACTGTCCGGAATTTTGAATTATTCGACCAATTCTCAGGAATTTTGAATTATCCGAGCAATTGTCTGGAATTTTGAATTATTCGACCAATTGTCCGGAATTTTGAAGTATCCTACCAATTCTCAGAAATTTTGATTATCCAACCAACCGTCCGGAATTTTGAATTATCCGACCAATTGTCTGTAATTTGGAATCATTCGACCAACTGTCCGGAATTTTGAATTATCCGATCAATTGTCCGAAATTTTGAATTATTCGATCAATTCTCAGGAATATTTATTATCCGACCAATTGTCTGTAATTTGGAATCATTTGACCAACTGTACGGAATTTTGAATTATCCGAGCTATTGTCCGGATTTTGAATTATTCGACAAATTGTCCGAAAATGTTGAATTATTCGACCATTTGTCCGGAATTTTGAATTATTTGACCAATTGTCTGGAATTTGGAATCATTCGACCAACTCTCCGGAATTTTGAATTATTCGACCAATTGTCTAGAATTTGGAATCATTCGACCAACTGTCCGAAATTTTGAATTATCCTACCAATTGTCTGGAATTTTGAATTATTCGACCAATTGTCCGGAATTTTGAATTATTCGACCAATTTTCCGATATTTTGAATTATCCAACTAATTGTCCGGAATTTTGAATTATCCCACCATATTTTTTCAACACCTATCCAAAAGTGTACGGATAATCGAAGAATTACTATAGTGTATGACATAGCTTGTAGAAGCTTTACACTAAGTCTTGACAGTATAATTCTGGTTCTTAGTTCTGTCTATAATGTAATACATCATCTAATTATTTACATAATTTTCCATATCTATATACTGACCATACAAATAGCGACATACACTGAGTAAGTCATCACATTATATTTTATACAAACTGTCCATTCACATAAAAAAAAAACTTTGTTCTGGATATGACGATAAACTACATCCGGCAGTAAGGCCTGTAATCGGGAGATTAGAGGTTTTTACGAGCATTGAACCACCTTTTAATTACAGTTGTTCTCTGATCCATCCTGTTAGTGTCCCAGTTATGGGCAAATAGTGAACTTCCAAGCAAAAACATAACAGTATGAAAGCATAAAATACATTTTTATAGTAAAAAGACCAGCAATTCATTGTTATATATATAAAAAAACAATTCCCACAATTCATATTTGTAGTAAAATAACTAGCAATGCATTTTATATTAAAATGCCCAACAATACATTTTATTTGTAGTTGAAGGCGTAAAATGGCGTTCAAAATATTTAGATTCCAACATTAAATTACCCATAGAAGTTGACATGTCACTAAACAAAATCAAACAACCAAACGACCAACATGAAAGAACACTTCCATATAATATCCGATAATTTCTTAAAGAAATCAAACTGTATTCAAAAATATAACTTCAACAAAACTACAAGTTATGGATAAATAGTGACACCCCTCAACCCAGGTAAAAAATCAACAGGTCGTTTTTTATAGTAAAATGACTAACAATACATTTTTTAGCAAAATCATAATCAATATAACACTAAAAATTATATAAATACAAGTAATGGTTTGGTTTGGTTTGGTTTATTTTGTTTTACGGTACATCAACTTCAAGGGGTTATTTAATGCCGACCACATTTTTAGGATAGATTCGTCTGAATAGAATATGTGTTCTTTGGTTTAGATTGGTTTGGTTTATTTTATTTTACAGCATATCAATCTCAATGGGTTATTTAATACCGACAACATTTCAAGGATCGATTTGTATGAATAGAATATGTATTCTTTGGTTTAGATTGGTTTGGTTTATTTTGTTTTACGACATATCAACCTCAATGGGTAATTTAATGCCGAGAAAATTTTTTATTGGTGGTAATATTTTGTTTTGTCAAAAATCCTTTTCTGGTAATATTTTTCCTTCAAAATTGTATTGCTAGTAATAATTTTTTAAAATAAAAAAATATTGCTGGTAATAGTTAACTATTTGCCCATAGCTGGGATCCTAACAGTGGTACCACCCCGGGTCAGGGTAGACCCGAGAACATCAACAATTAAGAGGTCCTTCTACGTTCCTCAAAACCTTCTGATCAGAGGCCTTGCTGCTGGACGTAGTTTATCGTCTTACCCAGGACGCGGACGTAGTTTAACGTCTTACCCAGGACGGAAATACAAGTAATACATTTTTTATAAAATCATTAGCAACAATACATTTTTTAGTGAAATTAATAGCGATAGATTTTAGGATCTATAAGTTACTATGAAAGTATAAAACTGCATACAAAATATTTAGATTTCGGCATTACATATGTTGATATGCCCTTAAGCAAAATCAACCTATCAACCACATAAAAAATTACTTAGATTTTACATTGCTTATTATATAGTTTGATCCTAAAAATATAGCTTGATAAGAATTGGTTCTTCTTATTATTCATGTTATATATTGAAGAATATATAATGCTATATACTTCTATAATTCCGAAGCGTAAAGGTTTATAAAGCTTGTTCACATACTTCGTATATCGTACACCCTTCGGTAAATTAATTGAAACAAAACGAATAATTTCGTTATTATTTACTTTTTCGTATTTTTCCAATGAAACATGACCCAGTGCACATGTTCGTACTTAGTATGTCCATTCCACGAAGTCGTTCCTTGCAGACTGACCATAGATTCTCGGATTTAAATCAGGAGAGTTTCCAGGCCAGTCGATAGTACTTTGATTTGCTTTCTGGTAAGGCTTGTCGGTGTGTTCGTGCAGCGTTACGATTCTCGTACGCTTCCTTAGAGTAACATCCATTGAAGACAATGGCTGTAGGACAACTAATCAACATTCGAGACAATAGTGTCTGAGCGTGATAAAAGTCTGATGCAATCACGCAATATTTTTCAAGGCCAAACAAATTTCATCATACACCCTGAAACTAGATTCATATTACTGCATACCGCTGCAAATGGCCTAATCTGAGAAAAAAATAGAAATGGATTACACACTGTCACTCTGACGTATGGCGAAAGAAAGGAAACTAAAGCGGTGGTTTCAATTAATTTGCACAAGGGTGTATATATTCGAGCATAGATTTTATGATCAGTTTTTACGTAAAAAATGGGGGTCACACTATCACCTGGTATTTTTTTTTTTTTTTTTTTTTTTTTTTTGAAGAAGTTTAAAAATCATGCATTTTCGGTAGCCGCTTGCACACAGACACACAGACATATTTTCTCGGGTGGAGATAAAATTTATTAAAAAATTCAGGTGTTCCATTATACATGAAGTCGACTTATAGACGAGTATATACGGTAATTCTATCAAGTGATTTTTTTTTTTTCCATGACGCTTTATAAAACTTGATTCTCATATAATGCATTATGGCAGTTGTTTTTAAGTTGAAGACATGTTACACTCGCCTTTAAGACGAAGTGGAAAAGATATCATTAGAAATAGGACTAAGGAGAAAGTCAAAACTGGACCAAGAGAGAAAAAATGGGTTTTAATCTAAAAGGAAAATGAAAGACAAGTAGACAAATATTAAATAAAATGTACCGAGAAGCAAAAAAAAAAAAAATTAGTCTTCCTGCTAAATAAGTAAAAGTAATCGTTTGTTATCTGAGATTACGATGTACTTTTTCTCCATCTTATTGACGACCACCCGCATTGACAACTGACGACCAGACGCCATCTTCCTCCCCAAATTGACCATGAAACTGTAGTCGTCAGCTGGTTAATTCAAACTGTTCATAACTTTATAATTACAAGAAAGCAAATTATGTTTCTCTTACAGTTTGTTTCACGCTCCTCCGAAGAGACAATATTCTTGGTTTTCAACAAGGAAATTGGTTTCTTAAAATTTCCCCATAGTTTACCTTTGTGACACATTATATATATATATATGTGTGTGTGTGTGTGCGCGCGCGCAACAAACTGAAGGAGACACAAAGAGACGGACACATTCACCAACGAAGAATGTCAAATTGGATTCAATGGCTTCCACCCACTTTGAATAATTGTCGATAAGAAAGTTAGGAAAAAAATGAAAAGAAAGACAAAATTGAATCAAAGAAAGAAAGAAAGAAAGAAAGAAAGAAAGAAAGAAAGAAACCTAAGATATGAAAGAAAGGCCAAGTAGGAAAAAAACGCGTATGTTATGGAAAGAAAAGAGTGGAGGAAAGACTATGAATGAGAAAAAAAGAGGATGTAAAAGAAAGAAAGAAAAGCAAAGACGGAAGGAAAGAAGGATCAGGTGGAAACGAGTTTAAGAAAGAAAGAAAGAAAGAAAGAAAGAAAGAAAGAAAGAAAGAA